GTAATTAAGGATGCACACATTAACTTGGTGAAGGGGTTTGAGTGTGCCAGTGAATCTGAGAGCAACGTTGTCAGGAGGTCATACTCCATTACAAGCCAGGACTCCTAGTATTTCACCCAGAGTGGAATGCTCACGGCTGAGAGACCAGAGTAAGATGCATCCACCCTTTTCACGGCAGCTACTGGGCAGCAGTATTTGAAAGTGACACTTTGTTAGTACTTTGCAGGAGCTGGCAATAGTGAATCCTTGCTGAACTCTTCTTACCATGAAAACCCTATGATGAGACACTCCAAAATGAAAGAAGACATAGTTCTGGAAGCTGAGACTCACAGGTTGGAAAGCACTCAATCTCAAGAAGAGCAAACAAGTATGAACAGTTCTGCTGCAACTAGATTAAAGCCAAAAGGCCATCTAGTACCCTGTTTTCCCGAAAATAAGACCTAATCTGAAAATAAGCCCTACTATAATTTTTTTAGGATGCTCATAATGTAAGCCCTACCCCAAAAATAAGTCCCAGTTAAGTGAAACCCCATTATTTCTAGAACTCTTCTCATATAGATGACTTTCAGGGTTTTTTTTAAAAATGTGATTCACTAAGACACAAAGTTGCAGTTTATTTTGCAGAAGTACTTGCCATGTGTACATTACTGTTTACTGTTATACTTGTAAAATATCAATGACAGAAGTACATCTCCACATGGGCTTGCACTAGGGAAATGCTGTTAGTCCAAACTTTAGTTGCATGTGCCCAATATACAGTAGGGCTCAATTTTATACACATTTACATTTTACCATGTTTAGCATTCAAAACACAAATACTGTAAATATTTCATATTAACTTGTCCTGTTGCATAAAGTGAGAAACAGTCACTAAGCAAAAGGTGACATAGCTTTGTTGCTTCATTCTTTAAAAAGCATATGCAAATTATTCTTTTAGGGCACACCTGGAAGTTCTAAGCCATTCCTCCCAGGTGATAATGTACAACAATGTGGTTACTTATTAGCAATGAGACTCACAGGAGGGATTACTTTTTCCTATGTGCCAGAATTCAGTCTTGTGAAAACAGGGTCCCCAAGGCTAAGCATAGAACTAAGATTATTTCTTCTTCTTTTATAAACAAATGTTTAATAACATGGCTAGAAATTAACCCTATCCAACTGCTAGAATTTTCCAATGGAAAAATACAGATCTTTCTGAGGTCAAGTAATCTCAGTACTAGAACTATCAGTCATTTGAAACTTTTCCACCCTAGAGCAACAGTGACTTCCACAGACTTGCCAACTTTTCCAATTTTATCTAGAGCATCTTGATGGAAAGACCCAGCTGGTGAAACCATTAGAAAGTTGGCTTTTTCCCAGGCAGATGCAGACTTAAGGACTTGGGCACACATAAAAACAAGCCACATGTAAAGTCCCAGAATGTGCCATACAAGTTTTACTATTCAATGTATCAGCTTAATCATTAGAAGCAATTTGGACTCCAGAACAAGTCAAATTGGAGTATACTTAATTTTAAAAATATCAACTGCAATAACAAAAGTAGTTACACAAAAGAATCACAAGGTTACCTAGATTTTTTCCTCTGTTTGAATACAGACATGAGCCCTTCATGCCCAGTAGTACCCTGTGTGTAAAACAGAGAGCTCGCTGGAAAGCAGTTTGTGATATGGCATAGTACTCTGATGTGTGAAGGCAACAACTTTCCTTTTGAAAGTTTTCAAAACTTCAATAGGAAAGCACAAACCTTAGGGTATTTCTAAACTAGCTGTGTAAATATTGGCTAATATATATTATTATTAAAAGTTCTCATTCTGTGGTCTCATAAACTTTACAGGAATGAGGCCAAGAGGACTGTTGGGCTTTATGAATAGCCTCTTTGTGTGCAGATTTGTTCCACTCACACTCCACCTATTCTGCAAATAGCTGAAAGGAATAAAAATGCTGGTGAGAAAAATTAATTAGAAAACAAAGATAAAATAGCATGTACTTAGAGCATTGGGGGAAATAATGTTTGTGTGGTGTTTTTCTGCCTACAGATATTTATCTTACACTAAGAGAAGGAAGAGAGCCCGAGGTAAGTATTATATATGAAACATTTCTACAGAAAAAGTGTGAAGAGTTGCGAAAGAAATCCTCACAATCTTAAAATTATTTCTCTTGAAGTATTTTTTCCATAGCATCTTCTACACTGTTTTCAGCAATAAGCCAAGAACATATGGAAAACCACAATAAGAATTATCTCAGCATATGTGAAATGCTTTCTCTTTACTAGTGAAAATGGCTATAATCAGCAGCTCTCACACATCTAGGATTGGGATATTTCTTCTATCTTAGGCAGATTTGCTCAGAAGTAAGGACCACTGCACTCAATGAAGTTTACTTGTGAGTATGCATGCACAGGATGGCCAAAAGCACACTTAATTGGATGACAATTTTACTGTATAATCACCATGTTTCGTATTGGGAATTTTACAGGAGATCCAAAGGATACCATATTTGATTTGTAACACACTGCTATTCCCAAGTACTGCTTCTGTGTTATTTTTCTTACCAAGGGAAGGAAAGACAGAACAACTATGCAGTATTTTCTGACTGACAACACAGGCACCCATCAGATTTTGGAATGACATCCTACCAGATGTAATCAAACTTATTTCTGAGTAGTAGTAATTCAAATTGCACTTTTAAGGAAAAAATTAAGTGATTTATGCTCAGCACAGACTTAAGCAATCCATTTCAATGACTGCTTTTTGCAACAAGCAAATACTCCAGGCCTTGGAATTTCTGAGCACTGTGCCACCCTGTGACTTGGGTTCAAAGTGCTTCATGCAAGCTATCTTAGCAAGAGTCTCTACAGGAATTTTCCTTGGGGCTGGGGGTAAAGATGCAGACTGGTATGTTCGCATAATCAGTATGTTAGCTCCAACCCAGCTCTAAAAGAGTAGTCCTGGCACTGAACCAAAAAGATCCTGATGGGCTAGTTTGCAATTATATGTTGTGCAGTCACTGGAAAATAGACCAAACTTGACCATGCTAAAAGTGGATCAAAACAAAAGCTAAACCACTCTCTGATCATACCCACATTTCCTAGTCTCCTAGTGGACTATTAATAATGTTGGCAGTCCTGGTTTGGAGGTAGGGTAAGAAAGCACTTGTTACACAATTCTTCAGCCACTTCTTCTTGGTTCATAAAATCATACAGGTATTGTTTGCTCTGCACATCCCCAAGTCCAAGTTTTTCCCCCTCAGTTCTGTTTCCTCGAAAATAAGACCTAACCTGAAAATAAGCCCTACTATGGTTTCTCAGGATGCTCGTAATATAAGCCTACCCCCCAAAATAAGCCCTAGTTAAATGAAACTCCGCCCTCCACCATTGTGCAGCAACCAAAAGATGACATGACTGTAAAATAAAACATCCCCTGAAAATAAGCCCTAATGTGTTTTTTGGAGCAAAAATTAATATAAGACCCTGTCTTATTTTCGTGGAAACATGGTAGTCTAATGCTTCTCACACACAGGATGGGAACAGAAACATTATTTCCTAATGCTTCACTCTCTTTCCCTGTCCTTCTTATGTCATTCCTTGTTTCCTCTCTCACTCATAATGTTTACTGCCGCATTCACCAATCCCCTTCCTGGTCTCGAGCCAAATTTTCTCCAAATTACATTTTTCAGAACTATCAGTACTTCCTTTTGTTGCCCCCTTTGTTCTCAGCAAGTATTTTATTTTAAAAAATGAGTCTGGAATCAAAATGATTTATTCTTTGCACACTATTTCCTCTTAAAAAACACACACATGCCAGGCTGAAAAGAAAAACCCAGAAGTCATAAAAAAGATCAGCTATAATTGATGTGAGTAAAATATCTTCTGGATGTTAAGAGAAAACAGCAAGACGATGTATGCAGGATTTGTAGCTTAAAATGGAACAATTGCCAGTTTGGACAAGCCCTCGGGCTGCCACAGCAAAAATCATGTACCTAATAAATAAATGTTTTATTTGGCAGATAATTCTTCAGAGAAGTGAGCTACAGTTCACAAAACTTTAATAAAAGTCTTTGAAGTAAAACAAGATGTCTTTTGTATTCTCGAAGAGCACAGACATAGTTCTGACTCCTGTCCTCTGAAGATGACGGCCACAGAGACTGGCGAAACATTAGGAAGAACAACCTTCAGAACATGGCCAAAGAGCCCGAAAAATCCACAACAACCATAAGACGTCTTTTGGGGTTTTTTTTCTGCAATAGACTGACACAGCTTGCACAGCCCACATCCCTGCGGGGGATTAGGTCTGCTAATGTTATGAACAGTGCACTCATGAATGTTTTACTCAGAATTAGCTCCACCTGTATCCATTAAGGCAGGCAGACTTTGTATGTATGTATGTATGTATGTATGTATGTATGTATGTATGTATGTATGTATGTATGTATGTATGTATGTATGTATGTATGTATGTATGTAGCTTAGTTATGATATAGCCTTTCCGTCAGATGGGTTTATTCACTCTTCAGCGTGTTTAGAATTGCTACCTAAAGTTTTCCACAGAGGTGGTTGTCCTAAATCTGATGAAGAGTAAACGACCAGGGGCCTGCAGGCACAGATGTCTGAAGAAGTGGCCTCCGGTCGACGGAAACGTATGTCCGTCCCCTCAACAAGCAAACCAACATCAAACCCTCTCCAAAGCCCTGACTTGCCAGCAATGTCACTTCGGGGCGTGGCCTCACTAGACCCAGGCTTTCAATACCTTCACTCCCTCGTTATCACTATTCATCAGCATCAGGAGCGCTCCAAGGTGGGTGGACTCATCCACATCCAGGATCGCGCGGGCACCGTCTTGTGCCTTGGCATGAGTGGGACGGGGCTCCTCGGTCGAGCGCGAGTCTTTGGTCGCGCGCCCACCCACGCGCCCTTCCCGCTCAAGGCCCCGCCTAAGCGCCAGCTGGCCCGCCTCCCGGAGGGGCGGAGCTCCTCCAGCCCAGGCGCGCCTCGGTTTCTTTGTGTTCAGCAGCTGAGGCGCGAGAGAAGGCAGTCGGCGCCTCAGAGCTCGGCCGTTAACGTCCTCTCCGCTCAACAGAACGGTTTCCCGCCGCCGCCGCGCTCTCTCTCTCGCTCTCCTCTTCTGCGCCGACTGTTCGCTCCGCTCCTGGTCACTCAGTACTGCCGCCATGTCGCTGGAATCCGGCCTGGAGGCGGGTTTCTCCAGCGAGGAGCTGCTGGCCCTGCGCTTCCCGCTGCACCGCGCTTGCCGCGACGGGGACTTGTCCGCTTTGTGCGCTCTGCTCCAGAGCTCGCCCCGCGAAACCTTGGCGACCGAGGACTCTTTCTACGGATGGACGCCCATCCACTGGGCCGCGCATTTCGGAAAGGTAGGAGAGGGCGGGAAAGGAAGGAACGCGCGCCTCCCTCCCTTCGCTAGTGCGCCGGGTCGTGTTTCATGGGCAGCAGGCGCGCCGTGTGCGTCGCCCCACCAGACTCAAATGGCGGGTCCCTTTCAGCTGTTCAGGGAGAGCAACGGCCACGGGCGCGCGCGCGCCGCCATTTTAGAGCGCCGATCCCGCCTTGGTCGAGAGCCGGTGGGGTGGGTGGGTGATGATGGGGGAACGGCGGCCGACGCCGTACCATGCGCCGGTGTTTTTAAATCTCTTGATGATTTAAATTCTGGGCCAGAATATAGAAGAGAGTGTCCCTGTCTGAAAAGGACAAGAGGACCGCGTCGAGGTGTTTAGAAGGAAAGTCAGGGTGTCGTTCCTTGTGATTCTAAAAGCCCCTTTGTTGTGATATGGCTCCTTTTTTTACGTTCGTAAGGATTCAGCCGTCAGCGAATATTTGGGATGATTAGTTTGCCGACGCCGTTACCTGTATTCTGTTTTTAAGTAAGGCTAAGAAGGATGGGCACTGTCCATGGCTGTCTTGCAGAAGCTAATCCTTATGACAGTCGCCTCTTGGAAGGAGCAGAGAATATTACCGGATCTAGTCAGATCTCATTGCCATTCTCTGCTCATGCTCTGTCCTATGCACGTAAGGTTGTGGATTTCAAAATGCCTATGTTAATGTTGAGGGGCTTTGTGCACCCCACAAAGTTCCAATACAGAAGACTCTTCTTTCCTGTTTTCTTCTGTCTTGCAAGAAAGGGCTGGTTGGATGGCTATATATCAACACGAGTTCTTTGTATACTTTATAAACTTTGAGCAGGTTCTCCTAAGGAGGTAAGAGGTATATGATCAACTTGGTGGTTGGTAGTTGGGATACACACTTGCAACATACATTAGGACAGATGTCCTCATCAGCTTGACAGGTTACTAGGGAAATGTTCCAGTATATCTCCAGCCATTTACAGGAGTTGTCATTTTCAGGACTCCAGCCATACTGGACAGGCAGCTTTCTGCTTCTGTTTGAGGGCCTGTACGTTATATTTATTTATTTATTTTATTTGTACCCCACCTATCTGGTCAATACGACCACTCTAGGCGGCTTCCAAACAGGTAAAAATACAAAAACATATACATATAGCAAAATAAAAATATCCAGCAATAAGCAATAAACAATAAGCAGATTGTTTAGATTAATAGGATAAATAAATTCTAATTCTATATTACTTATTTAAAATATTTTTAGCCGACCTTTCTCCATAAAAGGACCCCAGGTGGGTTATATCTTTAAAAGACATAGGTAAAAATAATAAATTATTCAAATATTTAAAAGACTTAAAAACACAGTAAATTAAAATGTTAAATGAAACAGATTACAAATACAGTATACTGATCATCTTGATTTTTAAACCCCATTTAGATAGTAACTAAGGGAAGGCTTCCTTGCAGAGAAAAGTCTTCACCTTCTTATGGAAGAACAGCAAAGATGAGGCCAGCTTGGCCTCCCATAGGAGGGAGTTCCAGGATCTGGGAGCAGAAACACTCTTCTATGTCCCCACTAAAGGTTCCTATGAGGGTGGTGGGACCAAGAGCAAGGCCTTCCTTGATGATCTTAAGACCCAGGCTTATAAAGGGGAGATAGTCTTTAAAATAGCTTGAACTCAAACTGTTTGGGGCATCATATCCTGTTTCCCCGAAAATAAGACCTATCCTGAAAATAAGCCCTAGTATGATTTTTCAGGATGCTCGTAATATAAGCCCTACCCTAATGCATTTTTGGAGCAAAAATTAATATAAGACCCTGTCTTATTTTCAGGGAAACACGGTAGATCTATATACCATATGCATGACTCAGTTGACCCTACAGTTATGTATAAGTAATCGTATGTACAGTGGGGTCTCGATTTACGAACTTAATCCGTATTGGAAGGTGGTTCTTAGGTAGAAAAGTTCTTAGGTTGAATCTGCATTTCCCATAGGAATGCATGGAAAACCATTTAATCTGTATCTGCTCTTTTCTGTCCATAGAAACTAATGGGAAGCTGCTATTCCGCCTTCTGCCACTAGAGGGGGATATTTTACTTTTTTCCCCTTAGGTTCAGGAAACGAGGAGGAAGGCAGGGAACAGTTTGCAAAGCACTTTAGAAATCTTTTTTTTTCAACGAAGCCAATTTTAAATCATGTTT